TGACTTGATGATCTTTCGATTTTATAATCACAATATATCTAACTTGGGTACTTTTTGATTAAATTTAAAAAGTAATATTACTGTGACATGATCAATTACCAATAATTCAATAAAAAATGTGATAAAAAAAACTTAAAGAACCAACTAACTCTTCAAAACTTCCCCAAAAACTTGACATAAAAAATCTCTAATAAATATATAAATATATAAAAGGGTATACTAATTCAGATCAAGAACTTTCTGATAATACCAAATTCAACTATAGAATCTCACCTTATAATAAAGATGGCCGTCACAAAATTTTGTTCTCTAAATTATATACAATTTTGACGTGTCAATTTTTTTTTAAGTTTTTCAAATCAATATTTTTACTCTTAAAGAATTAACAGGAAACTTTTGTCAACGTAACATGATTTAATTATGTAATTTTTACATATTCATATATCTTTAAATTTAACAGTTTTTCTGTGTAAATTCGAAAACATAATTATTAATTAAATATCCCTGGAAACCATTTGATACCTTGAAAGACAAAAATTCAGGTCAAGATCTTTTCAAAGACACCAAATTTAACTGAAAAAAAAATCCATTTGATTATATAAATTCGTCAGACAAAATTTTCGTTATTTTTTTAAGTATGCAGACTATCATAATTCATTTATTGATCGAACATAACTAATGGGCCCCAAAATATATATTATACTCAAAATGATAAAAAAATTTTACCATACTTCGAAGTGGGTTGTCCTCACTCTTCCCTAAGTACACGGAGAGAAATTTACTCCCTCTTTTGAAACGCACGTGGAAACGAGTATGTATGTATGTATGTATGTATGTATGTATTTATATATAAATATATACTATTTTAGTATACTTAGTACTGTGTACCAACATATATATTATGCTGACATAAATGGATTTTTTCGTAGTTTATGATCATGTAATTACACTAACATTATTTTTTAGTTAACATGTGGTAAATTCTTCATTTTTCTCGTATTGAAGAAAATTAAAAGGGTTTTAGTATACTTATTCTATATTTTAAATCTTATAAAAAAAAAAATAAACTAAAAAATTAAATATAAACATGGAAGAAACAATTTGAAAGATTCTGCTATTTTTAAGCTTAAAAAGCTTGAAAGTATAAGTATTAATGAGTTTTTGAGCTTTTTGAGTATTTTTTGTACTAATTCAAAATTTTAGGCTCGAGAAGCTGAAAAATTTTTCGCAAAAACATTTTTTTTAGACATATTTGGTTTCTTTTTGAAAATTTTATTTTTGAAATCAAAATTTAATGAAAGTTCTTTCGAATGTTAAAAAATTATGAAAAGTTTTCACAAACTCAAAAAATCGAAACCTGATTTTCAATTTTTACAGCTGAAATTTAAAAAGTAATTTGTATTATTTTTTCTGTATTGCAGTAAATATCTGTAAGTATAATTGTATAAAGCCATCTCTTCTCTTAAAATATTATTTATTAACGTAATATTTGACTGTTGATATCCAGTGACAGTAATAATCAGTGAAATTGCGGCGATAATTTTCATCGAGTAAAATTTATGAATAAGTAATAATGAATTCATAAATAATAAATGTGATAGCTGCCTTCATTTTTATGAATAATAATATTACTAATGATAATAATAATAACAACAATAACAATAATAATAATAATAATAATCATGAAGACGATAATAGCGATAACTCGGACAGTCTTGTGGAGACAATGTATTTCAGCATTTAAATCAGATATAAGCCAATAAAGTTTCCCAGCCGAATAAATTCATAGTAGATAAAATATTTATGGTGATGTGACATATATGATTCATGAGACAATTAATTGATAAAATGTAAATTGAATGTGAAAGTTTAGAAGCGGTATGCATTAAACATTGGTACGTTAAATATATGATATATAAGCACAATAAATATCTAAAAAAAGAAAACTCTTACTCTCTATTCAATTTCCGATATTTTTCTATAACACTCATCTCTGTTTATCTTATTAATAAATTTCCGAAGTGAGTTTAGTGTAACAGGTATCAGTTGCAATAATGATGAAAGGGAAAAATAACAGACGATTAAGTCTATTCAGATCGTGTCTTATTGAGTGAGTGCACACGGAATAGCTGCGTAATCTCATCTTGCTACTCCAAACGACGAGCTACCAAACGTTTTTATCCCATTACAACGCATGAATAAACTAAAGACTTTGTGGTTTAAACCACAACACTGCTCTGCTGAAGTAATGGGGGAGGACAGACTGTTAAATCCATCACTATAGATATCTTTTAGCATTTTAATTTTTATTTCGCTTTACTATCATATATTTTTTTAACTTAATTTTTTGTTATTAATTACATCGTAAATAAATTCATTTTTTTGTCAGTTATTTAATTATTTTTTTTACATTAAATTATTAAAAAAAAATATTTTGTTTTTTTAATTCTGTAATATTTTTATGAAAATGTGGAAAATATCAAGAGGGAAAAATAATTTTGAAAGTATAAATTTCATAGCTACAAACTGTTCAATTAGATGTTTGCAAATATTTTTGGAACGTAAGAAATTGTAAATATTTGGAATTAAAATTTTATCTGAGGATTGAAAGATACAGTAAAATTAATAAAGACTTTTTTTATAGAAAATTTAACTTCCTATAAAAAAGATTTCGTTCAAATTTTTTGTTTCAATATTAAGCCCAGAATTTAGATTTAAACTTTTCTTCATTTTTTAAATTAATTTTTGACTTAAAATAAACTTTTAAATGGCTTCAATTAATTTTTAACTTTATTACAGAATCATACAATTTTTTAGAATGAATTAACCATGATTTTATATTAATCAAACTAAATGTAAAGAGAGTGAATTAATAATTTAATGCAAATGATATTGCACTAATGAAGTGAGTAAACTTTATACAGAACAAAAACGCAGTTACTTACGGTAGTACTTGACTCGATTTACTACTGTCCTAATTCGTATGATCAACTTTTGTAGATCAAATTTTCAAGCTTTTGTAACAATTCATTATTAACTATACTAAAAAATTAATAAAACAATATAAATTACATATCGTTTATACACTGAAAAAAAAATTAACTTCATTTAAGAGAAAAATTCTTGAACTAAGACAATTATTTTGAAGAGCTTTATTATCTTGATTAAAGTAAAAAAATTTTTTTTGGTTTAAGTAAATTTCACTTGACTTAAGAATTTTTCTCTTGACTCAAGTAAATTATTATTTTTTTTTTTACAATTACATTAATTTAAAGATCATTGAACCCTTGAAACGTTAAAACAATAAATATTGCAATAAACTTAAACTGTATGTTTTTTAACCCCCGCTGTATACAGGAAATGAAACTTGATGAAACTCAAAAGTTTATCTTTTAACACCGACGGAATATTGTCCTTTCGCTTTTCTTGTTTTAAACTGACGCTCGGAATAGTTCAATTGTCTTCAATTATAAACTTCCATATTTCACATTTTTTTCTTGTATATATGATAGTCTATAAATCAGTGGAGTTGTATATACATATTTATGCTGTAACAACTTTAAAAATCAATAAGATAAAAGTATTTTTATTAATCTGCTTATTAATTAAATTGCTACCTAAAATTGACTTTTGTAATTTATAGATTTATGAAGTTTATTTCTATCAGACATTACTTCATTAAAAATTAATTAATTCCAAACGGTAACAAATATTCTCTAAATATTTATTTGAAAAATAAAGGGAAAGAGTGAGCTTGTTTATGTGGTAATGCATTTATAATGTATAAGATAGCAGCCAACTGTTAATAACAAGGTCAAAAATTATGCAAATACTGTAAGATATATATATAATGAAACTCATATATTTAAATGGAAATTTTGAAAGTAGTTCAAGATCTTGACTATTGCCCTCAAACATATAATCATTTTTTGTAACGATTTATACTTATTTATGAAAATTCAGCAATTTTATTTCAATTTATGCTGCTTTTGATTGAAAAATACTTTATACTTGACCCTCTTATAAAAATCTTTTAGTTTTTACAGTAAAACGAATAATTCCTACTCCCCTCACTGGCTTGATATTCCAGAATTATATTGCGTGTACTTTTTTTAATACTCGCACCTAACTTTAATATTTAACTAAAATGTTATTTTATAAAAGAAATTAATCTCATGAATTTATTTTTTAAACTTTCAAATTTGTCACACACTGATGAAAAAATTAAATTGATTCAAGAGAAAAAAATCTTAAACCAAAAACATCATTTTCAAAAATATGATCATCTCAAATCAAGCAAAAACATTCTTGAACTAAGAAATTGCACAGTAAAAAATTTTTCGTCATTGTGTAAAGTGTAAAAATGTTTGTATAGAATTTAACATTTTAGTATGTTGATTTAACACAGATTGGGTAAAAAAGTCATCAACACAAATTTTTGTGTTAAATTTGACAAAAAATTTTTTACTGTGTGTTTTTGGTTCAAAATTTTTACTTAGATCAATATTTTTTTTGCTTGATTCATAACGATTAAACTCTTTTAAATGATGTTCTCGATTCAGGATGTTTTTCTCGTGAATCAAGTTATCTTTTTTATAAGTGTGGTAATGATGTATTGTAATCAAATTTAATTCTGAAGCTTAAAATTTATGAGTATCTCTGTTACCGCGACGGCACCAGTTGCATCGAATTTTGATTATATAGTTACCTGTTTACGTTTTTGTAACATGATTTATTTTGTTCGGTCAAAAAATTATTTTCTATTGAAACAATATTTTGTTTTGTAAGTAATTTACAAGTTTTTAAACTTTAACTTACACAAAAAACTATTGCAAATTAAGTCAGAAATTTAACTAATAAAAATCGCTCTTGCATATAAAAAAAATCTTCATTCGAGAACTAATTTTCTTGACTCAATAAAATATTTAAGAAAATAAAAAATCTCTCAGCTGAACAAAGTTTTAGTAAGCTAAAAATATTTTTTTGTCTCACAAAAATTTCTAATCGCGCCAAAGCAACTTAGGTTGTTCAAAAAATGTTCTTGGTTCAAGTAAACTTAATTTTTTGTATCCACATGTTTTTGCAACGTTCATAAAACAAAACTAATAAATATTTAAACAAAAGTTCCAAAAATATTAGTATTAAAATAAAAATAAAAAACATGTGTCTTACCCCAGGATTAGGCATGCATCGTCTCGGCGGCGGAGGAGGCGGCATGGATTCTGGGCCTGAGCGATAAGAAGGCGGCGAGTATCTTCCGGAAGGAAAGCACCCGGGCGCAGAAATGGGTGTCCCATGAAGACCCTTACTTCCCATCATCTTATCAGGTGAGTACATCATTTTCACTTCTTTCACTTGTCTCTCAACCAATTAAAAATACAAAATAATAGAATTAGATTTTCATCTATATATCTATCAGTAAATACCAACAATACCCTAACTGCACATGTGTCTTATCTTTCCCCAGAGCTTTACTCGTTTCTTTAAAAATAAATCCGTTTCTCCAGCACAACAATAACAACAACAACATCAACAAATCACAGCATCAATATATTACCAATAAACTAACAATGGTGATTTCTGTCATTGCTCAGCTGGGTCGCCCAGCCACTACATAAGCAACTTATCATTTTTGTTTGTTCGTTAACACATGTGTTTATAATAAGCAAATACATTATTGCCATCAATTAGTATTATACATATTGATTAACACTAAAAACAGTTTAAATAAACCACTCATTCATTTCATTTTTATATTTTTTTTACACCAAATTAATTATTACTTATTTTAAATATTTATTAATTGCATACACAAGTCACCGTCTATAGAACATATTAACATTAATTTCCAAAACCAAAAATAATAAGCATTAACAATAACAAAAAATTAAAAACCAAACAACAAGGAGTAAATCCAGCGAAAATTTAGCACAGAAGAATAAAAGATCCGTTGAATATTAGCGATCGACTGTTTAGCGGGAGTACGCGACATGTTCTGCGGATAAACCGGCTTCCACCACGCTTCTATCATCCATCGGGGGGTTGGAGACTCTGGGGGTTTTATGCCGAGAATATACGAATACAACCGGCGTCTTTCAGCCTGAATTGCGCGCACTCGCGAGGCCACTGGAGAGTGGCGGATACACTCTATCACATCCCCCGCTATTTTATCTCATTGTCGTTGTGGCTGTGTGTCCGTGTGTCCTCGCGGATTTTTGAAGCTACCGCGCCTGCTCCGAGTCATAAGTCAGACAGAGACAGACTTCCGTGTGTTGTGGGGGAGAGTACTCTACAGAGACCAGAGACGGGCTTTAAGGGTGAAAATGTGTTCAGTCTGCACTAGAATTCGAGCTCGCTTTTATTCGGTGGGGCTCAATGGGAGCTTTAAGGGGTGAAAACGCATCCAAAGGGCGGAGCTTTATCAGAGCCTGCGCTTGCGCTGGTGGTTCGTCGGCAGCCATCTTGGAGACCTCCCGCAATAACACACTTTGGGGTAGCAGTATATAGATAAGCATAGGTATAGAATAGTACAGAAGCTCTCCCAGCACTCTTGTTTTGCCACTAGGTATCTGTGTGCCGAACTTCTGCGTATGTGCTTCTCGGCCGCTACCCGCAACCACTGTCCGCTTGTTTTTATTCATCTCATTTCTCTTGGATTCTCTGCGTTATATTCTAAATTTTTTAATTTTTAGCGGACGCACTTTTTAAAACTTTTAAGCTTTATTTTTTAAATAAATAACCTTTTTTTTTGTTTTAGTTAAAAAAAAAGAGGAAATTTAAAGAAATAAAAAAGATAGCCTGAGATTTGTGACCGAATTCTCGGTGAATTATTTATTCGCGGAGGTACCCTTAGTTTCCGGCTTTTTCCTTTTTTGTCGGCTCCGAGTCGGAGTCGGGTAAGTCGATGTGTGATTTTTTTCTGGACAAGGGTAGCCGCAGATCGATGACACGTTGGTTTACTTATTTATAAAGTAAAGCTGTTTTTTTTTTTTTTTTTTTTTTTTTTTTTTTTATTTATTTATTCATTGGTTAAAATTAAAGGGCATGTATTTAGCCTGAATGTATAAAATGTATAAAGTTGTAAAATGTAAAAATTATTCTGAAGGTCGTACAGAGGTATTATGGTATGGTATAGTATGTAGTGAAGCCACGGGAAAGTGTGGAGAAAAAGGGATAAAATGAAGAGCGGCGAAGAAGGGTACGGCGGTTGGTTCGTTTTCCGAGGGATGTTGGCCGGAAGGTTCCCACGAGGCCCGTGTTATCGCCTCTACAGGATGACCAGCAACCCGCGTTATCAAATATTAAACCTACTTGCACCGGGCCGTCTCTATCCTCCGTAACTATATCTCCAAGTCGCTTCCACATTTCTGTCCCCCCGGACCCCGTTGGCCTTTAGACGTCCCTAGTTTATGTGCTCTTGCAATGTAATATTGGACTCTGCTGAGAATCCACCATTGTGTTCCCCGAATTCGTAAAACTTTATTTATTTGTAGGTATCTAGCTTTACACAAGAAATTTTTTGGTTAAAATTACCAATTTCTCTGTTGTTCCATAAAGTTATTACGGAAAAAGCTTTTTTTCCGTTTTAACAGGTGAGGAAAAAAAATTTCTTCATACTTTCTAAAATATAAAATAAAAATTGTTCTATAGAACAAAAATTATAGCGTTACTCAGTAAAATTACTGTACAAAATCAACTCTATTTTTTAAATGATCGAAAACACAGTAACTGACTTTTTTAGATTTTGTCAAATTTGCCTTATAAGAAAAAGGTTCACACTTTTAATTGAAAATAAATCAACTAAGACAGAGAAGCTACTTATATTAACAAAAATATTTGAAAGATAAATAACATCAAGTTTTTTATTTAAAGTACAAATAAATGTAACAATACCATAAAAATAGGTCGCAAAATTATGAAGTTACTGAGTTTTGGAATAGAAAAACCGAACAGTGTATTTCAATTTTATGTCAAATATCATTATGGAAAAACTTTTGAATTTTGAAAACTAATTTGATGTTGAAATTGCCACAAAAAAAAGAAAAAATTTCAACAGTTTTTAGAGTTTATAATTTTGAGTGAATCTTTTATTTTTTTTTTTTTTTAAATAACAAAAAAATTATCAAATAAAAATTACTTTCGGTATTACAAAGCCTATTAACGTATATAGTAGGGTGGGTCAAAAAAATCGATTTTTTTTTTTAACTTCTTGCATTGAAAAGTTGGTTCTCATCAGGCACCTCTAGAAAATACTCACCAAATTTGAGGTCGTAATATTGATAGGAAGCTTATGCTCATCACAGTTTTACATTTTTTGTTAGTCTCTTATAAAAAAGATCATATCTCACTATTGATCAATTTT